GATCGGGTTGTTTATTTGCTCCAAACCAGCTGAAGGAATCGCACCTATTTCACATTTACTTTTGCTTTTTTTGGGACATTTCATGACAGTCAGATGGAAACATGGCGAGTGTGGCGGGGAACGTCGTGCGAAAGCGTCCCAAAGACTAAAACTAACACTGAAACCAATAGAAGCTAAACTTAAACTAAAGATTTTCAAAAAATAAAAACTGATCTAAGCTGGCAAATATATAAAAACTACTAAAAACCATAATAACCTTAACTTGAATGTGGGTAAAAGAGTGATCGTGCGGCTCTTCTTGACTTTTTTGAATGTCATCGACTGAATGGATCAAACTTTGACGCTGAAAAGAATTGATCCACCGTTTTTTTACAGCCACTAGTCAGACTGCTAGTAAAATTGGATTCAAAGCACGGGGCGCTTCCTGTGGTCTTGGAGGAAATGTGATGCTACCAAACCAACCAATCACAGGTCTGTGTCGCCGCGACGTGTAGTTATATTGTTGGAGAGGTCGGGCCACGGCGTTGACTCGAGGCAGAAGTATATAAATCAGGCTTAATGATGAGATCAGGCTCCATGATGTCCGCCTGACAGCTGTGGGAAGTAAATGAGCGGTGGGGCGTTCAGGAACTAAAATTAAACTTTTAAATGTTAGTTTGTTCCTGATTGTTCGTCCTGCAGTTTCTGCTCTCATCAACGCATCAAGTCGAATGAGTATAAATGAAGGTGAAAGCAATCAGCCTCAGAGTTAATTAGTGGAGTAAAAAGTGCAGTTTCACGTGAACTAACTCTGCCAGAGGAGGTTCACACTCTTTAAGAGCTAATGTTTCCACGGGAAACCAGTTTACCCATCATCCCAGTTCACCACAGCCTGACCTCCAGCGGCGCCGCTCCACCTCAGCCCCGCCACACACACACACTGAGTTCCCATGATGCAGTGTGTGTGTGTGGCGTGCTGAGGGCCTGGGAAACAGACTCTCCGGCTCGCACAGCTCACAAGGATCCAAGAGTTTCAGCAGAGCCTCCGCTGCTCTCAACAGCCAATCAGCACTGGTGCTGCAGTGATGTCATCGGTTCATCACCACCAGGAACAGAGTGACGACAATAAAGCTGCATTCAGGTGCTGTCGGAATAATTTGTTCCCGTCTTGGAAAACGAGTTGACCACATACAAACAAATGTTGGGTTGATCGTAAGACACTTTTTATTACTTCATGTGTTGCATTTCAGATGTTTTCTCTCATACTGGAAACAGTAACAGTAAACTCTCAGTGAAAGCAGTGAAACACAAGAAACACGTATGGAAAAGATTGATTTCAAAAGCATCTATCAAGTTTAGGGGGAAATCTTCATTTAGTCCTAAAGGGGGGGCGATAAATCTACATTCTGGTGTCCCTGTGACACAGAAACAACCGTAGACGTACCAGGAAAAGGTCAGGAGTTTCTAAAGTGAGATGATATTAATCTAAACGATGACATTTATATGATAATATGAGATAATGTCAACCTTTGACCTAATAAAGGAAAGTCAGATTATTACCACGATAAAAAAATTTGAAACATCAGACATTCAGTCATCAGTCATATACAAAATGATGGCAGAATAACTTAATTAGTGAGAACTTTAAATGCTAAAAATACTCACTGACTGACACTTCAAATTCAAATTCAAATTATTGGCATGAATGTAGAGCAACAATATTGCCAAAGCTACATATAAATTACATAAGGACAATTAATTTCATACATTTCCTTAAATAAGGAAATAAAACAGTAAAGTTGTGTTTGTGTGTGTTAATAAAAAAATATATATATAAAATGTAAAAATTCCGTAAAAATAATTAAAAATAAAAGTAAATAAATAAAACAGTGTGTTTGTGTGTTAGAAAATGAAAATAATATATTAAATTAAAATAAATAAATTGATAAAACCGTAAACACGTGTGTGTGTTTGGCCATTTCTCCCAGTAAATAGGGGAGTTTCTGTGAATTTGAATTCGGGGAATATTTGGGAAATGTTTTTGTCTGTCTCCACCTGTCCTCTGTCTCTCCACCTGTCCTCTGAGTCTCTACCTGTCCTCTGAGTCTCTACCTGTCCTCTAAGTCTCTCTACCTGTCCTCTCTCTCTCTACCTGTCCTCTGAGTCTCTACCTGTCCTCTGAGTCTCTCTACCTGTCCTCTAAGTCTCTCTACCTGTCCTCTAAGTCTCTCTACCTGTCCTCTGAGTCGCTCTACCTGTCCTCTGAGTCTCTCTACCTGTCCTCTGAGTCTCTACCTGTCCTCTGAGTCTCTCTACCTGTCCTCTCTCTCTCTACCTGTCCTCTGAGTCTCTACCTGTCCTCTGAGTCTCTCTACCTGTCCTCTAAGTCTCTCTACCTGTCCTCTAAGTCTCTCTACCTGTCCTCTGTCTCTCTACCTGTCCTCTGAGTCTCTCTACCTGTCCTCTGAGTCTCTACCTGTCCTCTGAGTCTCTGAGTTATTTGATCTTTTCTGTATTTTTAGTAAGAGACCTGTGGCCTGCACCACAAAGGGAGTTCTCTGACTGCGACTCCCTTCAGACCCTCCTCGGACATTTTTGTACATTTTTTTATTTGGTGATCATTTTTGCTGTTTCACAGCTTTTGGCATCAACTTTTTGCAGGGACTCTTCTTTTTAGCCAAATTTTTTAATTCCTTTTACTCTCACATGTCATTTGAACTCTATCTATGCATTTTGCACCCTTTCGACACATTTGTGGCAAAAATGTCCAAAAAACTGCTAGAAAATCAGCATACATCAATATTTGTTTTTGCTTTTTTTGATAAATCACTTAGACTCGTTAACGGCTAAATCTAACACAGTGGCGGCCAGGGAGGCTTATTGGCATCGCATGGAGTACATTTGTAATTATCTTCCCAGTTTTCTTATTGTAGACTGATTCTCTATTATGTAAGTTATGGACTCTTCTTTTATGTGGAACATGATGTAAACAAGATGTAACTGCATAGTATGTCAATTGTAATTAAAAAAAAATGGAGCCACGGGAGAGATAAAGAATTGATGAATGTGATTCATATTTAAGATTTTAACTTATGGATTTATAAGAAACTAATAATTACAAGCCTACAAGTTAAAAACTTGAATATATTCTCTGACATTATGTTCATACATGTATGAAAACTGTGTTTTTTTTTCAAGAAACCACGTCGCTTCACTTTGCAAGGCTGCAACATCACACACAAATCTGCCGTGTGTTATGCATGCAGTAGAAAATCATATTAGACTTCGCAATGGGATTTAGCAGTGAAAAAAATCAACAAAACACTTTTGTTTTGCCCCCATTCATCATGAGCTGAACTCAAAGATCTAAGACTTTCTCTATGTACACAAAAGGCCTATTTCTCTCAAATATTGTTCACAAATCTGTCAGAATCTGTTAGTGAGCACTTCTCCTTTGCTGAGATAATCCATCCACCTCACAGGTGTGGCTAATCAGACAGCATGGGGATTGCACAGGTGTGCCTTAGGCTGGCCGCAATAAAAGGCCTTAGGCTGGCCGCAATAAAAGGCCTTAGGCTGGCCGCAATAAAAGGCCTTACGCTGGCCACAATAAAAGGCCACTCCAAAATGTGCAGTTTCACTGTATTGGTGGGTCTGGAAACCAGTCAATATCTGGTGTGAAGGGGGTGCCCGCGGTTACGGAGATATAAATGGCTCATTCTAAGGTAATAAAAAAAATAGTTATGTATCTTATATTGCATTTCTGCCGATAGATCCTCAGAAACATTACACACTGACCCTTAAAGATCTCCTCTCTAAAATCACAGCTCGGCTGCAGAGCTCGCTGTGTGAACGTGATGCTGTTGTGTTCAGAATAACTTCATTTCAGCTGCAGCCCCAGTGGAACAAGTCAGGGTGAAATCTAAACATGTGTTAATACTTCTCATCATTAACACAGAGTACAGATGTGGTGTCCACGTATACAGGGTAACCTCGAGTTAACCACGAACAAAACCTGCTTAGAGAAGTTTAGAGACGAAGCATAAATCGCTGTGGCAACAGACCTCGGGTAACACCTATCCACCTTTCGCAGTACGGGTTAATCAGGAGCAAGGGCGTCACTTTATGTTGGAAAGCGGTGAAGACATAAGGGCTCAGATCAGGGGCAGGATGATGAATTTGGCTCCTGTGACGTGACGATGCTCGAGAACAAGAAGTTTTTTAGCGCCATTTAGATTAAATATTTGAGGCAGAAATATATGTGCGGGGGATCTGAGGGTCCTCCCACAGAAGATTCTGAGCATTAACTCGTAATTTCCTGCATTCTGCTCCATATTGCTCTGGAAATGTCTGTTTTTATATGAGGGAAAACTATATTGCATTGCATTGCACTATATTGCATTTCTTCTTGTGCAAATAAACCTTTTCTCAAAGCATTTTCATTGGTTAGTTAATATTTCTTGGTGCCATTTTTCAGAACATTTTTAACAAATGCTTTCAAAAAGTGATGGGGACAAAATCACCCATTTTATAATGTGTTGGGGACATGTCCCCAGCGTCCCCAGCGTAAATGACCCCTGTGATCGGGAGCAAAATATGTGGATATTTTTCCCCTGGAACCTGCAGAAGCTCCCCTGACGGTACACTCTAGTTTAGAGTGAGTTGAGGCAGCTCAGGGGGTCAAACAGCGTCACCTTCAAAATGCAAAACTAACTAACTAGTTTGGATTCACCTGAGGCCTGTGTGTGCGCGTGTGTTTGTGTGTGTGTGTGTGTGGGGGGGGGGGGTTACCTGGACATGCACTTGTATGCAAATCCGGCACTTCCCCCGGAGGAAGTGCATGTGAGTCAGAGAAGCAGCTCCCTCAGGCCCCAAACACAACAGGTGGGATTTGCATGCTGCAGGTGGAGAAACGCTGGACCTGCTGCTGCTGAACACACTCATCGTGCTGCAGCTGCTGACAGATGTGGGCGCTCACGACGATGCTGACAATCTCTGTTAAAATGACCCGAAGGATTCACTTCTGTATTTGAAGACATGTTTGAGTTTATTTGACAGCCTAATGATCAGATTAAACTGAGACAGTTTGTTTGACAGAACATTCACTCAGTAAATCAGGCCATAAAGCTTCTCCTGCTCAGAAAGGAGCTGACAGATCTTTATCAGGCAGGAGGTCAGGTCTCCACTGGCTGCAGGGTTAACGATCAACGAGAAACAAACTGCCGCAAAGACGCTGTGACAAGATTATAAAACTGTGAATGACAAAAAAAAAGATGAAATCAGCATGGCGCTCTTTAAACGTTTAAACGTTAAACACCTTCAAGAAAATGTCATGTATAGAGTTGTGCAGGCGCTGCATCGGGTTGTGCTGTGAAACAAAGAAGGACAGGGTCTGGCTCACCTGGCCCAGGTGTGTCTCATGCAGCTGATTAGCCTACAACAGGTCTGCAGCCCTGGAGAACCGAGCAGGAAGGCCGTCACGCTAATTCATGTGATGCAGCACAGATGCAAATAATCACGTCGTTAACATTAACAAATAAAAGATCCCAGTGAGATATTAAGTCACCTCACTAACTCTCTGCTGTGATCTGAGCTCTAGAACATCATGTAATGGAGAAACAGTTTCTTGGCCGTGTATATCTGCAGTCGAGTCACCTGGATAGTAAACGTACTGACTGACACGAGAGACAAAAGTACAGAGTACATAGATGTTTATAGTTAACGTTGTACATGCACACTGTGTTTTTAGTAAGTAAGTTTATTAAATTAGTAACTTTATAGAAAACTGTCTTTGGCTTCTTCACATTAAAATAGATGATCAGCAAGAACTAAAATAAGACGCCTGAATTTAAAAGGGTTCTTCTTCTGCTTCATGTTAAGTTTGGAGGCCTACAGCGTGTACAAAACATGTAATTAAAGTATTTTAAACCTGCATGTACTAAACCCTTAATTCAACATAAGAACTGTGTGAGTAAATATAATTCTATAGAAGCAAAACAACAAACATTGTTTGTGTTTATCTGCAAACACATTTGAGAAGCTCAACAAAAGTCTCAGAGAAATTTGTTCCTTATGTCTGAATGTAAATATTCTGTACAGTACATGTACACTAAATACACAGAGCAAATAAAACGTGTCTCTTTAAATGGTGTTTGTGTCAGTTAGGGGTGAAAATGATCCCCGCAGGCTCCCATACTCTCACATCCTGTCTGAGTGTCTCCTGTCACAGCCTCGGGCAGAGGGCTCATCCCTCCGTCCCTTTCTCTTTTTCCTCTCGGTGCAGCAGGTTCGTCCTGATCCTCAACTCATCCTGCAACTTTCACAGCAGTTTACCTCACATCTGATCAGCAGCTGCAAATACTACTGTAGTAGTAATATTTGTAGCAGTAGTAGAAGTAGGTGAAGTACTACAACTACTACTTCTACTACTGCTGCTTCTGTCAGTATCAGTGAGTTTCCAGCAGCATTAATCTGAGTCTTTGTACAAACATGAAGCTGCTGCAGAAACACAACGCTGTGTGTGTGTGTGTGTGTGTGTGTGTGTGTGTGTGTGTGTGTAGGTGGGGGGGTGGGGGGGGAGCTGGCAGGATGCCCAGTATCACATGACAGGGGCGAAGCTGTGAGAAAGAAGAAGAAAGGGCGAGAGACACTGAGAAACAGAAACAGAGAGAGACACAGGGTGAGGGCGAGAGAGCTTAACAGAGACTGAGGAGAGAGAGAGGCCTGGGAACAAACCGTTCCCTCCGTCAATAAACACCGCCTGTTGAACACAGAGACTCAAACTCACAACAGACCCTAAAACCAGAAACATAAAAACAATAAACACATTTATAATCTGACGTCAGCATCACCAGAATCTGGATCCTGAGCCCAGAACTGAGACCAGGTCCACTTTAATCTGACAGACACAGTTTCACTTTAGAGTTAAAACTGTTTTGGACAAACATTCTTGGCATCGACACAAACAGTGAAACCACTTTCAGTATAGAAGTCATTTGGCTTTCAGTGCTGGTTGGTGTGGCGCCCCCTGTGGCTGCTGGTAGTAACAGCCAGGTCCCAAACCTTTTAATTTGACATGATTAGCATTATCTCTCTACTAAAGACAGGAATCAAGGTGCTTTTTTTATATAATAATGTCGAACGGTTCGTCCAGTCAACCTCACATGTGGCGGGTGTTTTCCAGCGGACAAATTTGGACATGTGACAGAATTATTACACTTTGAATAAACTACAGTACAGCGCTCTGCAGCAGTGAGGCGGCTGGCTTATAGGCTTATAGCTTCCGATAATAGTGAATTGTTGAAACTAGAGTGAAGTGGGAGTTGCTCTGTGAGGCTGCACTCTGACACGGCGCTCACAATGACGCTAGCATGCTAACATTAGCTAATTAGCAGAAAACACAACAGCCCGTCCTCAGCAGAGAAACGTCCGTACATGTCGATAATGCAGCCGATTATTACGACCCAAATTTACGTTGTTTTGTTGGGCGCCAACCTCTAGTGGCAGAAGAAGTCAGGTGACATATAAAGAGCGACAATTAGTCATTTAGCTGACGATTTTATCCAAAGCAACTTACAATTGCAAAAAGTCACGCGCCTCTGCAGCAACGAGGGGTTTGGTGTCTTGCTCAGGGACTTTAGGGCGGGATTATCTATGACTGACAAGTCGTTACCATGGCAACCTGTCAATCAAGCTAGAGTGACTCGTCCCCACGGGACTGTGTAAATTTAGCGCTTTTGAAAAAGCTTATCAGGAGTCGGCTGTTCACCTTCTCTGGTGAGCACATTTAGTTTGTAGACTGTTGTTATCACTGTGACTGTGAAGTTATCAGCCCTGTTAAGATGACAGTTAACGTGAGGTACAGATGCACCTAGCTAAGCAAGCTAGCTAGCTCCGCACACGGCCGTTAGCTAAACCGTTCGTCCAAATATGGTCACATCTGGTGTTGCTGGTTGCAAAAACTCAACATGGCGGCCAAACTCAAAATGGCGGTCCACAAACCAACAGGTGACCTCACGATGATGACGCCCACTTCTTATATACAGTCTATGTCACGGGGGGGAATCGAACCCAGGTCTCCTACACCAAAGGCATGTGTCCTATCCATTGCCCCATTCCACCCCCACAAAGTCCATGTAAGGAGGTGGACAGATGAGTCAAGTCACTCAGGAGAGTCCTGTGTGAAAGTTAAATAACGTTTTGTAGATGACTTACATGTCGTTTTGGGTCATATATGTTATTTTAGGCGCCTGAATATTGATCTATTTTGTCGTTTAGGTTTGAGGCTGATGGGAATGTCATTAGTTCTGCAGGTTGGTCTTAAAACAAATGATGAAAAGTTATTACAGTTCATCCTGAATGTCTGAACCACATTTCATCACAATCCGTCCAACAGCTGCTGTTTCAGTCTGCACCAAAGAGCTTTTTTAAGACACACTTTTATTGTCCCCTAAGGGAAATGTGTTTTGGACTCTCTGTTCGTTCTGCAGCTTCACAAAAACAACACAAGAATAAACATCTCTGAACACAAAACGTCATGCATCACAACTCATGTTCTTATACACATAAGACAGGAACCTATGTAAATATAAACACCTACTCGTGTTCTCACACTACAACCTGCATAGCCCACATGAAATGTTGCTCAGCCCAAATTGCCTGTGTGTTGCGCAACATAATCTTAAGGATTATAGCTTGTTTCAAGTCCTGGTTCTGAAAGATTAGTTCCAGCAGGACTTTCCCAGACAGTCAGTGGGTCAGGACTCCAGACAGGGTCTCCTCCTCCTCCTCCTCCTCCTCCTCCTCCAGTCTGTACACAGAGACGTCTCGCCCTCAGTACACTTCACCACACACCACCAGTCTGAACCCAGGGCACAGAGTTCCTGTGTCACTGTGTGTGTGTGTTGATCGTGAGGTCCTGGCTCGGCCCGGCTCGCTGTCGGCCAGAAATGTAAAGCTGCAGACCGCAGCAGCTTTTAATAAACCCAGATTCACTGAAGTCTCAGACAGAAACAGTCTGAGCGCTGAGCTCCAACACGACACACCAGTCCAGGAGATTTCTGCTGTTCTGGTTGGTTCAGTGTTGAACTTGAGAACGTTTCCTTCGAAAAGCCCGGCAGCTTGGCAGCTGGTCTGAGAGCCGTCAGACACCTTAGAGGCCTGACCCTGTGAAAACTGGTGATGATCAATCAATAGGAGCAGATGCTGAGTGTTGAGGCTGCTGTTAGCATCCATTAGCACTGATTATGTGTCACAGCAGCAAGTGGAGATCAACAGGAGCTGAGCTAACAGCTAACAGCTAACAGCTAACAGCTAACAGCTAACAGCTAACAGCTAACAGCTAACAGCTAACGCTCCGTGTGAAGCTGCTGAGGTTTGTTTACTTGTCATATTTTCCCCAAAACACTAAAATCTGTTTGCTGTCAGTCAATCTGTGTTTTTCTTCAGCTCGGGAGCTTTAAGTTCCTGAAAACAGAGCAAAGGTTCCCAGACCCGGTTTCCATCCAGCTGGAGCTCAGACAGGTGAGAGCTCACCTGAGATCACAGCAGCACCGACACACATCCAGAATATAAACTGATCCTGAAACAGCCGACGTCAAAAATCTCAAACCCGATCCAGAGACAGTTCCTGACAGTTTAAAGCGCCAATCATCAGTGTGTTTACATGTGATGTCATCGGTTTTTGGGTCAACGTGACAGGGGCAGGTGGGCGGGGCATGGTGTTGATTGACAGAGAACAGAGAGCATGGTCAGCGTTTGTTTCTTTGTCAAGCAAAGTAGTCAGTGGGTGCATTCGAGATGACGTCGGCTGACTTTCGCTGACTTCATAGTCTAACATGAGCTGCAGGTGACCGCAGGGGCGGGGCATATAAACGGCGCCGTCAAGTCGGACACATTCTACCTGCGTGAGCTTACTGTGAGCTCAGATCAGTGACAATATTGTGGTTTCAACTTTGTGCCGCCGGACTCGGCGCCTGCAGCTGCGTTGCTCCCGCGAGGTTTAAATGTCATGTGACATGGTGACGTTTTGCAGCGCCAGCGAAAGTTGAACACAATTTCTAACCAGCATGCGTCACGTTAAGTCAGCGCTGCGCAGCGCCGCATCATGTCAAACGCAGCTAATGTCTAATGCTCTGGTGAATTCTGGGTATTGTAGTGCTGCATGAAACAAAGTGGAGCAGAGAAAACGAACTTGATAGATACTATTACCATTTCCTTCTGTGGTGGTAGAAGTATTCAGATTCTTTACTTACATAAAAGTAGAAATACACAAGTGGAAATATACTAAAAGCACGGCCCGGACCGGGACTGAAGCCTCCGAGACCGACGGAGGCCTGACATTGACTACAGTGCCGAGGTGGTTTACAGCGACCCGGACTCTGACTCCGGGCACGACTCCGGGTTCAGGCAGAGACAGGAGAGGCGTCGTGTGGGGGAGGAGCGAGTTAACGTAAGAAACATTATCCACCATCTATCTTGTTGATGAGTCTGTTTGAAGCTGGAGG